AACATTTATAGTTATTTGAAAACTACTTGATAAGTTCATACGCACTCGGCACACATATCTTTTCCTAATATTTGAATTACTGTACTTCGAACGAATTGAGCTAAAAAATCACAGGTCATTTAACTCTAGAATTAAATCAAGAAGATGAATGCTGATACGTTTGTTAGAATAGTGTTGTTTCCAAACTGATGGAAAATTAACTCTATTCAAGAGGAAAAAATCAAGATCATTGTTTAAGAGAGTTTGATCATCTTGAAGCAAGCAGAAAAATTTTGAACTAATAAATTTATATTGGTTCAGGTAAATTTTACTTGATTTAAGAATTTTTCTACTTGGTTCAAGATAATCAAATTCTTCAAAATGATGTTCTTGGTTCAAGAATTTCTCTCTTATCTCTCTTTTTTTTTCATAGCTCCGTTATTTTAGAATTTATGCGGTAGTTGTTAAATTAAGAGGGTTTAAACATTTTTTTCTTTGACACTACAATAAACTACAATCAATTTAGCACCCGTTTCAAAACTTTTTATCGAATTATTTCTAATATTTCCTGCTTTGTGCGGTATTAATATTAAATTTATTGTAGGGGATTATTGATGCTACAAAAAAGTATACTACATTCATTAGCATCGTTTGTAGGTAAAAATGAATTTAAAAAATCAAGTTTTTCCTAAAGCGTCCAGCGTGATGAAACTGGGATTTTGTTGTAAAAGCATTATGCATTTCCCCATAAATGAATTACTAATTATGTAGAGTTTAGTAATTAGCTTATGATTATTCCTAATGTTAAATTATGAACATATTTATTCTTATCAAAGTTTTTCATATGTTTATGTACCTACATATATTACATTGTCATAAATATTTGACAAAGTCAATATGTTGTTTATTTCTTTTTTTTCTGTAAGAGACTACAATTATAGTTATAAATTATTAGCCGCTCTTTTTCAAAACAAATATGGCTTCAATATCATTACGCCATGAAAGTAACTAAAATTAACTAATCTAGCTGTCTCTACATTGGTGAGACGTCTAATCTTTCTTACAGCATATACTGCAGCACTAAATAATAATGATGATGGTAATGTAATATACTAATCTGTCCCTATTTAATTACTACTGTAATTTTTAAAATAAACATACCATAGTTAAAGTGATCTATTAACTGATAATTATTAGTTTACATTGCTTTTGCACTTTTTTTATCACGATTGTAACTTGTTGACTTGATGACCAAAGTTAAAAATGTCAAAATTGATACGTCATCATCATCATCATAACAGCTTTTCACAAGTCTACTGCTGAACATAGGCCTCCCTTAAGGAATGCCACAAAGCACGGTCCTGAGCCACCTGTATCCATCGGCTTCCCGCATATATACAGGATAGCGTTAGGGAAATTACGACACATCTTCACTTCCGGTATACCTCAAAACCTGAAAACGAGATTGTACAACCAATGCGTGTTGCCAATGATGACGTCTTATAGATTTGAGACGTGGTCCTTCACTGTTGGTCGTATGTTGGTCGAGGACGTTCATGGTCGCTCAGCGAGCTATAGCGAGAGGGCTATGCTCGGGGTTTCTCTGCGTGATAAACTTAGAAATACACCTGTAGTCAGTTTACGTACGACAAGTCGGTTAATAATTCAAGTTTACGCGCAAGCCCATCGTAGCGGCCATTTTGCGTGCGCCCGTGTGTCACACCATTGTGCTTCATTTGGCGCGAAAAGGGCCACTGCGCCCCCGGGGAGTTTCATTGTGTCGACAAATAAAATTGCTAGAAATATAATATAAAATAATATTTTTAGCATATAAAAACTTTTGTTGTCTATTTTTAAATTGTGGTTTGAAAATGGATGGAAATTTATAACTGACGTAAGTATATCTTATGCGAGTATGGATGAAATTTAGGAGCCTCCGCAGACTAAGGGACTTTGATCGGCCGATAGTTTAGTCAGGTTACTCGGTTTCCTAATCAGTATGAAGATGTATGCAAGTGCGCACGTTATAACGTTTCGGTATCGATTTAAATCGGTTGATTAATTAGTTTGATGGGCTGCACGATTGCTTTCAAGCTGAACTGTCGGCGAACTACCGGCCGATTGCTAAATCATTACGTGGCTATTCAAAGCGCGCATACTTGACGATTGTTCAGTCGACGGACTCAGCCGATAGTTGATAATATTTACTGCAAGCTTTGACGTGCATATTATGTTTCGTGATGGCATTACTTATCGAAACGTTTATCGTAAATTTTGATAGAGGAAGTTTAAAAAGAAACTATCCTATATAAAAAAATAAAATACTTAAAAGAGCACTGATGAGAATAAATGTTTTTTTATCCGTAATCGAATATCGATTTATTTAACATCTGGGCTCCATATGGGGGCATTACGCCATCATGCGGAAATTCAGAAAACTACGTGAAAAGACGTTGGCAGTGACAACGTATCTTTTTGCATTTTTCGATAGACAGCAGGACCGCTTAAATCAATCTGCAGTCAATTGAAAGCACCGTTATTTTTCTGCGAGTGTTTAAAAATGAGCTCCCGAAAATTTTTTAAAATAGGTGATCCTAATCAAGGTAAGTTGAAGATTTCTTCTTTATTTGAGTTGACACATGATAATTATAATCTATTTTATGTTTAGAAATAGTTTCAGAGCAGTGTTGAGTACAATTCTTTTGGTTCGAATGTGCTAATTTTTTCTCATACGTAGATAAACCTGGTTGTCTCCATATGGGGACATTGGGTTTGAAAAATTATTCTTCCCATATTTTTCGATTCACATATTTGTCATTACCTTTTCCAATTTTTCCGCATATTTTTATTTATTTGTTTATATTACAGATTTTTCGCTAGAGAAAGCATTAATTGACGTCATCAACGGGGATGATTCTGATTTAGCTATTGATGTGTAGAATGAGGATTCTGATGATATAACGTTCAATCCTGAAGCTGAAGGTAATGAACACGAAGAGGATGACAGCTCAGATGAAGATGAACTCAGTGAAGATATCGGTGAGGCTTCTACCCAAAGTTATAGCCAATCTTCCCAAAATCAGTCACCAGCACTAGATTCTTTCCAACCTCGTCGCCTGTTCTGGAAAACCACAAATGTTTTTGAGCCATTGCCACCAGCACCTACCATTGAGGAGACTGATCGAGTGGTCGTAAATTTACCACCAAACGAGTACGTGACCGAGTAAGTATATACCCAGCGACTTCTATGAGCTAATCGCTTTCAACACAAACCAAAGCTATCTTGCTGAAACTGAACAGAATCTGAATACGCCAGAAAAGGAGATGAGAACATTTTTTGGTGTAACAGTTATGATGTCAAAACAGGTATATCCCGGTACAGCGTCGAAGTGAAACAATACAATGGAAAAATGGGTGGTGTTGATTACTTGGATCGGATTATAAGTTACTAAAGGATTTCGTCCAAAACACGCAAGTGGACAATTAGACTCATCTTCCATTTATATGATTTTGCTTTGGCAGCATCCTGGATAGAATATAAATCGGAGCATGAAATGCTAGGGTACTATAAAAAAAGACATACTGGACTATCTTGGGTTTAGGAAAGCGATAGCTGACTTTCTACTGCAATATGAAGAGGAAATAGAAGAAGACCTTTCTGCTGATGATGACACAGTGCCGGTTGCAAGCCTAAGCAAGCGAGCTTAAACTCGGCATCCATCTGATTTCGTAAGAACGAGAAAATTAGATCACTTACCTATTGTTATGGACACTCAAAACCGCTGCAGACTGCCAGGTTGTAAGTCCACTAAGGCAAGACATCAATGCCCCCAACTTGTAAAGTAATTTTGTGTCTGATGAGTGTAAGAAATTACTATAACAACTATCACAAATTATACCTTATACACTAAGTTTAATTATTAAAAAATATTGTTATACTGAAATATAACCGAATTTTCGAATAAAAATAAAAAATTGAAAATATATGGTGTTTTCAGTATTTTTGGAATCATTGAAACCCAATGTACTCTATTGGATACATGGTTTTTCAAGAGTTTCAGAAAAATATTATATTTAACAACATACCTAAAAATATATATTTTATAATAAAAGACAGTAAATTCCAAAAATGACACTCAAAATATACTCTGGGACTGAGGAGGTTAAATAATATGTTGAAGCCTTCTTCGTTGAATAATGATGATGTCTCTCTGTTGAAACTAATATTTTTGTCTACGCCAGTAATGGTGGAAAATTGGTGAAAACGTATAAGTATATTGTGAATTTCGGTTCGCTTATTCCGAATTGCTCTAAAACTTGTTTCGTCTTAGAAGCGTTACATCTATTTTCGTCTGTGTGTTAAGTGCTAAGTGGTTAGAGACTATTGATTCATTTGTCTTGGATTTGAATAGTCGAGGTCATTTGTACAATATGCTTTTGTAGCAAAAGGCTTATTGGTGACATCAATGTGTTAAATTAAATTTTGTACGTAGTAGAGCCATGCTGTAGCTATATTATGGTTGTAGCTCAAATCAAAGACCACCTTCTCACAGAATACCAGTATCTGTAAAATGGCAACTTTATGCTGCTGTGTTTCGTATGGTGAGTGAAAAGAACCGGAGACCCCTTTTTACTGAATCGAGGTATTCCGTCTTAGTACTCAGGAGTGACAAGGCATCTGCATTTTGATTCTTAATTGAGGATAAATGTGGAGATGTCTTTGTCCCATAGTATCCACTTACCATCAGGTAAACTGTGTACTCTAGTCAATTGTATTTATAAAAAAAAAATATTTTAAGCAGTTGTCGGGAAGATGCTTGCCCTGTATTGATATTGAGTGGCAACTTCGGATTTGCATCCAAATAATATCGTTATATTAAGTTTTATAAATTAATAATCTCAAACTTGTGTTGTATTTCAGTTAAGCCGATTCTTACATTTCCTATTCCTTTCGGCTTACGACACACATAAGATATGCATATAATTAATTGGAATAATACTAAAATGTCCTTTGTCGACAGGTCGGTCCATCGCGTGGTGTTGCGAGCGGAGGCGTCGCGGTCTAAAGCTAGTGGGGCTCGGAGCTAGCGCGTCACCATGAACGAGCTGGACAGTTTGCGTCAGGAGGCTGAGACGCTCAAAAATGCTATACGGGTGAGTCACACATACCAAACTTCTATCTTACCTTGACATGAAGGCTTTAGAAACTATCATTGCAGAAGAATCTAAGCTTTTCAAGCTGAAATACTGAAATATTTAGAGGCTGGAAGATCGCATTTCGTATGCGAGCTGTTTAAATTCGATATCCGCTGGTACTGATCGAATCTCCGCGAAGATCTCCACTGGTATCAGAATTGCAAGCTGTAAATTCATTTCGATTACTCGGAGTTGAGAAATGGATATGTTGTGTTTCTAATCGATCTAGAATCTAGATTAATAGGATTGAGTCCTTAAAAAAGGATTGCTTCGTGTGATGGCGAATCTTCTTGAAAAAATCGATCCTCCGAATCAATTATTGTAATATCGATCTTATCATTTCTTTAATTAAATTCATTTAATCGAGTTTCAATCGAGAGATTAAGTAAATTATAATTTGCCGGCGCCTGTCTTTCAATGCGATTACAATCAGTGTCGTCAAAGCATGAACGATTCGATTGGGTTTTCAACCGACTTGACTGTATTTTTTAATGCGTGTCACCTCAGAACTTTTTTCTGGGTAAACCGATTTTGAAGATTCTGATTCTGGTGCTTCTCGTGTGGTCTCATATAAATTTGATCAAGATCTGACCAGAAGTTTTTGAGTTATCCGTAATAATGCATATTTAATAGACTTCGACAATTTTTAATTTTTTCACTTCTTGTTACGCTAAGACAGTGCGGTTTTACATCTAGGGCTTCATGACAACTTACGTAACCAAGCACTGGCTTATACATAATTATGTCATATAGGTAAAATAAGTATGTTATCGATTATTTTAAAATACGTGACATGGTTAGCTTGCTTGTTGTGCGGTCACTAAATACACAAGGGAAATGGAATAGTAACATTGAGAAACATTGTGTATTCTTGTTTATAAATTATTAGGGAGGACCCGAAATTCGTCTAACCGAATTTATGACCGAAGTTCGGTTCTGTATAGATGTCGAACATGGTACAAGAAAAAAGTAAAATACCTGCGCTGTTTTAACTAAAGTTCCCTTATATAAGAACTCTATAATCTTGCTCATATTTGTTAATTAATAAATACGAACAGTATAATTTTGTTACATTTAATTTGTTTTTTGTTTTTAATAGAATAGAAAATCAAATTAAATTAGCTCTTCTTAATTAGAGTCTTATGGATCAAATTTCGAGAATAAGAAATAGATATTAATTTATAAATTTATATTTTTTTTAATAGAAACAAAAAAAATTACGTTAGAAATGTTCTAACAAACATCAGTAGGTAACTAATTTTTACTTTATTTTCCAAAGAAACATTTAATTTGAAACTTTTTAATTTTTGTGAAAGATAACTAAAAATAAACCATTAAAAAACATATTTGTTTTTAATGTGTTTGAGTGTTTTGAATGCCAGATGTTAAATTAAGGTTGTATTAAGTAATATTCTAGTAAGTCTTATTTTTATATATGGGTATTAAAAATTTATTACGAAAATAAACCGAAACGCGCGGCGAATATGGATTTTTCACTTGCAAAGAATGGTACACTCGGCCACAGGTCAAATCTTCTGCGGCCTTGCTGGCCGAATAGCCGAATATTAGGCCAAAGTATGCGGTCAAGAAGGTAATATTGTTCTTTATTCAGAGCGTCTATTATTGGAAGCTGAAATTGTCTATGAGAAGAATATCAGTAAACTACGGCCTGATATGCAGAAAAATTAGTCTTCCTGCACCATAATCTTCCACTTTGATTACCATAATTCAAATTTTATCTGATAGGTATTTATATTTTTTTATAATACGGAAGTTGGTTATGACCCTGTGATTATAATGATTATAATAAAGATACGACATTATAAAATAAATCAATATTTTTCTTTTACCAATTATCTGACTACTACAAAACATCTTACTCAAGTGTTCGGTATTCGGCCGAATAGTAACCAGATATTCGGCTCACTGTTAATTATCAATTTTTCGGAAATATAAAAAAATAGCTGATCTTTAATATAGTTCATAAACAGAAACTTTTTTTAATTTAATATAGATTATAAATAATACTTATTTAAAATCACTCTTTTATTTAAATACCACTGGTTCGGAAAAAAACCTCTGTCCTGGAAAGAACCCTAAATTCCTTAAATTACTTAATTACTTTAATTTTTATATGATGCCTACTTACAAGAACGGACACGAACAGGATATTTTTTATTTGTCTTGTAATGTTATCATAGAAATTATTGATTTTTGCGTCTGGTTACGATATGACTCGCGTCGTGCAAAGTAAGGTTGAAAAGTTCTTCTTCTTGAACCTGTAAAAGCCACTGTTGTATATGGATCATGAGAGGAGGAGCCTTTCGTCTAGGGTTTGCCTCAATCTTAGCTTAACCAACCCATTTACAAAAGTAAGCACTTTGACGTGTTTTGTCGGGTATTTTGCAGCACCCCTGGTTTAGAGATATTGGAGTGGTGCAGTGTTACCGTTACAGCCTGTTAAAGTCTACTGCTGGACATAGATTGCCTCATTAGTGGGGGATATTTGTCATACTTACCACCCTTGGCAAGCGGGTCGTCAACCGCAGTTTTTTTTATTTTTAGTCGTTATTATCAAGACGCTGCTGCCTATAGATATAAATGCCGGAGATAGAAATCCCATCTCCACATTTTGTTATTCCCTCTGTCACCTCTTACCTACGACAGCCACGGTACAATGTAGTGGAGTAGTGGATATTCTTGCACAGCCACTACACGCGTTCGCGTAAATATAAGAACCCATCATGATAATGTGTGGTGCTCCGTTGTACAGGATGCGAGGAAGGCGGCGTGCGACACGTCGCTGGCGCAGGCAACGGCCAACCTGGAGCCGATCGGCCGCATCCAGATGCGCACGCGGCGGACGCTGCGCGGACACCTCGCCAAGATCTACGCGATGCACTGGGGCAGTGACTCCAGGTCGGTGCAGCTTTCACTAATATTTACAGTACCCGGCGATAAATATTGCACATCGACCTTTGGAAAGAGACAATCGGCTAATTTTGGCTTCGTAGAGCGTTATCTCTGTCGCACGAAATACAAACAGTCCGTATCTATTAGCACAGAATAAATAATAGTACTACGTACAGAAGTTGCACTCCTTTGATGTCGACTGCTTACCGACGTTTAATAGCCTACATAATTATTATTAATCAGATAAATCGCACACGCAAGCGAAATAAAACTTTATCGCTGCGCGCTACTGCCCATATTACTTTGCATCTTTTTTGTCACGGCGGACTTTCCGTGGTTATTAAGGGATGTCAGTAGAAAGTAAAAAAATACATTGCGAAATGTTGTTACTTGTGAAGTACTAACTAATATTCTGACTATGATTGACTAACCATACTTTCGCCCATATGTGAGTTCTGCGATGCCTAACGCATGCAAATTGCAACGTCATTCGTCGGGAATCGTAACGCTTGGGAGAAATAGGTAGATAGTGTAAACAACAAATAAACCTGAAATACGATTTCTAACAGAAATGTGATCTATTCTATTTAGTTAAAAATCTTGTTAGTATACAAAGTTTTAATTTCAGTATTTTGTGTTATTATTACTCAAAATATTTTAATTACAAAAGACAAGTATAGGTATGTAAGTAAATACTTGCATAGTGAAGAAAAATTTAACTAATTTTTGTAATGAAGTACTCAGGTATTTCTTCTGTAGACCAAATTATTACTTAATTCTTTTTTTGCTGTGAGTACCTATCTAACAAAAAAATTAAATAAATTCACCTTTCATAACTTCCTTCTAAATTCTTCGGTAACTTAAAGAATGATATGAAACCTTTTGTTGGTCAATTCATTTAGTATCCATCTAAGCAACAGTTATAGTAGGAACGACGTTTTGCTATTATAATTTATCAAATAGGTAATATACATATTATATAATTTTTAAAATACATTAAAACTTTTACAACTATTTTTACCTACAATTAAATATACTAAACACTAAACAAAAACTATTTCAACAAGTATTTACATAAAACTATTTACGTAAACAGCGTTAAAAAACTCTTAACATTCAATTGCCTCCAACGCGCTAACCCTGACTGCGTTATTTCGTTCGCCCGGGCGCGTCGCGATTTTAGGTAATTATTTCACGCAGGTAGCAAGAGTGATAGAGGCCTGCTATTAGGTCGAACGTCAAAACGTCATAATATATAGGTAGTGTGCGACAGAGATAACGCTCTACGAAGCCGAAATTAGCCGATTGTCTCTTTTCAAAGGTAGATGTGCAATATTTATCGCCGGGTACTGTATTTATCACATATGTTCTTCTTTTTAAAAAAAATTGCCCCCACACTGAGATTTTTACACGAATATCTTTACATATATAATTGCAAACACAATAGAACAACAAAAAAGCGAGAATACCCGTGGAGTTTTTTTTACCGCTTCTTTTCAGGTCAAGGAAATCTCATTTTGAACAAGTAACAGATTTAGTAGGTTTAAAAAAATTACATTTGACAAACGGTCTACGTACGGTACATTCACGCAGTATGATGCAGCCATTTTACACTATTTTTTGTAAAAGCACAGTCTTACCCAGGTAAAGTCGAGCTTTGAGTGACGTTGAAACCAAAATACAGATGCAACTGGGTTCTACCACATCATCGTCATTAGCCCATAAAATTCCATTGTTATTACATTGACCTCCTCGTTATAGGAGCTTGGCAGACGAATTAATAATCACAGTGCCAGACGTCTGGCAACTTTATGCTGCTGTCCGTCACTGGCCTGGATATTTTACATCTAGTGTAAAAGAGATGGTTATATCGCCTTCTATCGGAAGCCATGAGGTCTTTCTTCAAGTTTCCTGTTACGACACCCACGGGATACATATACTTGGTAATGCAATCTCGCTTACGCTGCCACCACAAGGGTCAACCACTTAAAAATAAATCTTACGTCAGTTTATTATTGCTTACATAAATTAGGTACTTGTTATCTCCATACCTTTCTTTATCCATTGTCATTTAATAAAAAGAGAAAAAGCAATTTTAAGCATTTCTTAAATTGATATCGATTTTTAGAATCAGGCCGATAATGTTAAGAGTTAAGACGTGGTTGAGCCACGCTGTACCGAAGTTGTAGCACGAATGAGTCGGCTCGACCAGTCATCGACCACGCTCTTACAGAATACAAGCGTGAAATAGCAGCTTAATGTTTCCTATGATGAGTGTAGAGAAACGGAAACCCCTTTTACTGGAAACGAGGCATTCCATCTTAGTGATCGGGGGTGACAACGCATCTGCATTTTTGTTTTTAATAGAGGATGAATGCAGATGTATATGAGCCAGGATTCGCTTTTGATCTGGTGGACTTTGTGCTCGTCTGTCACTTTTATTCTATTAAAAAGGTGTATGCAATTGATTATCTATCTATCACTTTTTGCGTAATTTCCCATAAAATTCTCTATTTTTGGCTAATTTTGGGTCGAGTAACTTGTTACTCTTTGAACTTTGCTTACCCCCTCGGAGTTACATTTTTATGCAAGCGGGTAATCGCGACTAAAGTTTACAGTATATGTTCATTTGTTCTATTAAAAAAAAAACGTATTTTCTTTCCTGTGATCAAGAAAAATTGATAGTTGTGCCTTTTATTTTGACGATAGAACTCTTATACGTACAACCGTTTGTTTTGCTTCACCTAACGCGCAGTATTCGTGGTCGAAATTATTTTTAGTGGCCTATTCGCCGATTAAACAAATATTGGATAGCGCGTGAAATACGCAAGCAGACAGATCGATGACCACGTAAAGGATGGTCTTGCTTAATACATAAGTATATCTGTTGACATATTATAGCATATAAGCATTATAACATTCCATGCATTACCATGGAAACTTGTGATTAGCAAATGACCAAATTAAAAATAGAGAAATGTAATCAATGTTGTTTGTAGACTAGTTAGTTAATAAGTGCTCAACAGGATTAAACCCTACAGACTTTCCATCGACGGCTTAGTAGCTGTGCTGTGGGTCGCGGGTTTGAATTCCGGTCAAAATAAAACTACGTCGTTTATATGACTTACTAATAATTGTTCTTGGTCTGGATGGTTCTAGAATTATTTATTTATATAAAACGCTTTTACTTTAAAGGAAAAAAATTCTACACCTCTATTTTAATTTTAATCAACATTAGATTGTATATCATAAGTTTTTCGTACTTGGTAGTGGCGATACTTTTCACTCCAAGGAGTCCGTCTGGCTTAAGTACTAATAGTTGCATCCTTTTACACAGTAGTAAGTACTAGTAGGGTAGTTGCATCCTTTTTATTTTCTTTCGCTTAGTATCAGTTTCCTCACTGCTGCAAGGTTTGAGTCATCATGTCAGTGCTGACGGGTATCACAGCTGTAACCTTGTGCTGCAGTAGCCAACTGTACTGTGAGCTCGTTTTATCTTGCTAATTTTTAAAAGTAACAAATTCTCTCCTTTAATTCCATTATGTCCTTCAAAAGTTCACTGCTCAACACAGGCCTCTCTCAAAGAGCTCGTCTTACAATTTTGCCATAGTTGCCACGGTTGCGATGCGGGTTGGCACCCTCAGTTTTTTTATAATTTTGTGTTGTGATCAGGAATATGCTGCTGCCCATCTTTGGCTTCATTTTCCTTCTGTCGCCTCTACGCACCCTCGGGACGATATGAGGCAGTGGATATTCTTATTTCTTACACCGCCACTACACGGTTCCGGTACAAGAGTTTGTGGCGGCGCTGTCGTCGCACCACAATCGAAAACACGTCGAAGCCTTAATCGCGCTATCAAAGTTTCGAAGTAAAAACAGTATATATAGAATAGCTCCGAAGTTTGGTGCATATAGTGCGTCGTATTTATGTTCCTAAAGGTTGTTATTCCAGTGTTGATTTTAGATGAACTAGAAATAGCTTGTTACGTTCTACAGGAATAGTCGGCAAATGTGAATTGACTGTTTTGGAGATACCTTACATAAACGTTTCCACGGATGAACATAACAAGTTATTATGTAAACTTCAAATCGCGCGCTAAATATATACAACGGCCTACTAGTTTGAATTCCATCGTATATTTTACTTTTTTATTATTCTAATACAATATGCAATGCCACTTGTCTCTGACATTGAACAACATTATATCATCCCAGGGTTATTGTAAGAGGTAGACAAAAGAAACAGAAATAGGAGGATGAGTAACAGCATCTTATTGAAAACATTTTTTTTATATATATAAGAGGGGATAAGTGATCACTGTCGCCCATGGACAGCGACACCAGAGGAATAGCAGATCCGTTGCGGCTTTTTAGAACCGAGTAGACTCTTTTTCTTGAACTCCCTAGTCGTGTCTCTATATCTCTATACATACCAGTATGTCTGTTTGCCAATCCGCCAAGCGTGGCGACTATGAAAAATATAAGTACACTATAATGAGGCCATCCATGGGGTTGGGGTGTAGTTCAGTTGTGGGTTTATTATGGGTTAATAAATGAGGATGTCAACCTGATGGATGGGATAGTTTATTAGTAAAAATACGGCTTGTGAATTTCTCACAGTTGAGCCGGTAATTAGATTTGAATGTCATAGAGCGATAGAGAACCTGCTACGCTATTTCAATATAGATTGGCGCGTTTCCAAATTAAATATCCTTCCGACGATTTCCTTCACCATGAAGTAAATAATTTATAGAATATTAATTTATTGTATTTGGCATAAAATAAAACATTATAAGTAAAACAGAAAACGGTTTAATTACGTGCCTATAAAAAATAACACAAGATAGTAATTAATTAAACACGAATTTTGCAAAAAATTAAACTACAATTTTATACCGAAAAAATGCGCTCTGCTTGCGTTATTTGCGTACATTGTAAAAAATTACTACGAACAGTGACAGTGGTGGTGTCAGCCTTACTTCACGTCACCATCCGTACTAGTTAAGTCTTATGAAGTATGGAACACTGACAAACAAGTGCTTTTCTTGAACATGGTGATGTGTCACCTCATTTGTATTTTTTCACTTTAAAGAAGAAAGATGGATATGGTTGTAGATTTAGATCGTCAGTTTATAAGTACTTAACTAAAATGTTACATATTATACTAATCTATTTTTGTCGCTAATAGTACAACGTATAATGACTGTGGTGCTTCCGGGAAATCCCTCTGAGTTTAATTGACAATTCCTTCATTTGTCAAGCGGTTGTAAAACTTATAGACGAATCACTAAGACGTGGTAGAGCCACTCTACATCTGTATTATGGTCGTAGCACGTATAAGTCGGCTCAACTTGGCAAGGACTGCGCTCTCCATGAATACCTGTATAAAATACTACCATCTTAATGCTGCTTTATTTCGTATGGTGAGTGTAGAGATCCATAGACCCTTTTTACTGAAAGCAGGGCATCAACCTTAGTCTTTAGGGGTGACAATGCATGCACATTTTTGTTACTATACACATTTGTCAGTCTCATACAATTACTAAAACCAGTTTGCATGTCACAATATCCCACAAATTGACACATGATGTTCAACAAATCGCCTCACTCGTCACTTCGCCGGCACTAATAATGAAAAACAATATGCATGATTTATCAAGAACTCGGTGTGAGAGAAAACGTATGTTTGAATCTGTATGCGTCACGATGTTTTAATTTAAAATTTAGAGTAATGCCTATCAAGCGGTGCAGCCGGGTACTGGAATTCTCTATTGGATTGGGTCGTTTCAAAGCAATATTAAATTGATTTCTTCGTATTTTGTTATTATAGAGCTCTTGTTTGTGTTTTATAGAATAAAGGGGGGAAAATGAGCACACACCACCTGATAGTACGTGGGTGTTGTGGCCCGTTCACATCTACATTTTCTTCGATTAAGAACGAAAATGCTGATATTTTGTCACCTCTGAGTACTAAGATGGAATGTCTCATTTCCAGTAAAAAAGGTCTTTTCCGTTCTCTACACTCAACATATAGACAGCAGCATTGTGCTGCTATCGCATATATGGGTCACAGGGACGGGTAAAGGACCACGCTCTCACAGAATACCAACATAATATAGCAGCTTCATGCTGCTGTTTCGTATGGTGAATGTAGCGAATAGGAGATACTTTACACTAGAAATAAGTCATTTCATTGCAGTCCTCAGAGGTGACAACGCTCCGGCATTTTGATTTTTAATTGCAAATACTTAGCATCAGGTGAACTGTGAGCCCCCCCGAACGGGTTCCCGCCTTGTCGTGGCGGGGGGCTTAGTAGCCGTGGCTTGGTCTCCCACGGTGAACAAAGAGGAACCCACGTGGCTGGCCCGAGGTGAAGGGCCGGCCTGAGGTGGCCACTCCGAGTGGGCTTGGGGAGCCCACTTCGGATGTGTGCTGGTGGACTGCAGCGAGTGGGGACTCCGCACCCTCTACCGCTGCAGCCGAGGTGGAGTCGCGGAGGAAGAGGAGTGTTGGTATGGCGATGCGCCACTCGCCCTATCCTCCGCGACTCAAACGGGGCCGCACCGTTGATGCGGTGGTGATGGGGCTGCGGGGGGAGAGGATTGTCGGTATTGCGAGGTGCCGCTCTCCCTATCCTCCGCAGCCGAATCTTGGTAGGCGGCGGAGCCGTAGACCAGATCCGCCGCTGGGGTCGGGAAGGCTAGTGTAAGTAAGTGCTCGTTTTTCCTGGCCCCATGGCCTTCGCACATCGGACGCGGGGGCGTCTGTTGCGCAGATGCAATTGGAGGCCGTGGAGGAAGGCGTGCCATGTGTTCTGGTGCGCCTTACTTGGGAAGGAGAACGGGGAGGAATATTCCTCTCCCGATGAGGTGCTGCCATGGGGCGGCAGTCGCTGGTGGGGCCGCGGATGTGTGCGAAAGCGTTCCCGTAGCCCTGCCAATATGCGACGAAGGTGGAACACCATGGGGTTTTAGTCGGTGCGAGTCCGACATAACCCGTCCTTGCCCCCCGCGAGGCGGGTATGCGTAGGCATTTCCCCATGTTAAAAAAAAAAGGTGAACTGTGAGATCATTTGTCACCCTTATCCTATATGAAAAAAAATCACCATCAAGCAGGCAACAGGTGAGCCGCATGCTCGTTTGCCCCCTCTCCTATTAAAAATTTAAGCACATTCTAATTTACTTTTAACAGAAAACCCAGACGTTTCATTTGAACAAGGCGAATTGTTATTGACTTCAAAAGTACTCTTACGCCCACGAGGCATTCAAATTTATGGCATACCCAATGTATTATAAATGAAAACTAGTGTACCATGGAAATGCGCGCAATCACTTTGTGTATTTGCGTGATGTTTATATTTCATAACTGAGCAAGGCTGAAGTGGTTTTGCCTATATTACAATAGGCGAAGATTAAATTGATTGTGTACAATTTTTCTCTGTGTCTGAGGATTTATTATTGTCTTGAAAGGGACTATCAATTTTGTTTATCTTCATCCTGAACTATGGCTTACCATAATATCAATGCTGAACATGGGTTTCTCCCATTCTCCCGATAGATACAAATAATAATCCATTACCTATCCCATCTGTTACATCCCTTCATAACTCCACTGCTGAATGTAGGCCTCAGCACACAACCAAACAGTCTTAATCTACTTACATCCATCGACTTCTTGCATCTGTTGTCATACCATCTAACTGGGTGCCGCCCTACACTTTGCTTACCGATACAAGTCCGCCTCTTGAGAACCTTTCTTGCCCAATGGTTTATGCAGCACTACACATCTTATTATATTTTTATAGTAGGTAAGTTTAATCTAGGCACTGATGAATGCATCCTCATAGGTCCTACAAACCGACTTCGGTCACAGCGGTCAGTCTCAACTGAGACGGGATTATAGTGCCCGAGTGTGTGCGCGAACACAGGTGCAATATCTACGGTAATCCGACACGAACCAAGAGAGATCAGATGCAGGACCAACGGCTTTACGTGCTTTCCGAGGCACGGGGATGAAATACCGCCAACTTCCCGACTCCGTGCTGCTACTGAGAATTACTTGACGACAAACCCAATATCTGATTTCGGCCCGACCCGGGATTCGAACCCTAGTGATCAGCAATCGCATTTCAGACCACTAAACGGGGCAATCACTACAATTATAATATTGAAATATATTAAAATGTTTGCGCTATTACTAATATGATCAATCTCCCGCAGGAACCTAGTGTCGGCCAGCCAGGACGGCAAGCTGATCGTATGGGACAGCCACACCACTAACAAGGTGCACGCGATCCCTCTACGTTCATCTTGGGTGATGACCTGCGCGTACGCACCCTCCGGCTCGTACGTCGCTTGTGGTGGACTAGACAACATCTGCTCCATCTACAGGTGAGTAATCAGAATAAAGTAGACAAAAACCTTGCAAGGCAAACTTGTTTGAATGTTGCCTTGACTTGCATGTGGTGACAAACTAACGAGGTTGACGAAATAGATCTATTAACCCGGCGCCAATGACATAAAAAAATAACGCGGGCGATGACACCGGGTCATCATGACCCGGAATTTTTTGGATAATTTTTCACGAAACTAAAGTAATTTTCTGGACTTAATAAATGTTTATAAAATAAGGGTTCTTTTCATATGAAATAAAATAGAAATAATACTAATATAACCTTTAAATCATTTTTTTTAATTACATTTTCTTATAACTCATGCAAAATCAATATTGTAAACATAACATGAATACTTTTTTCATTTTTGGATAATTTTTCGAATTAATAATAGTAATCAATGATTTTATGTACTAAAAAAGAGATCATACAAATTTCTTATCATAAAAATAAGAAGGAATCAGTCATCTACTTCCTCATTCACTGACATGGAATCTGGCCATATGTAAATGTGGCATGCATGACAAGTATGAGATATTTTCTTATTCTTTTTAGACGGACATACTTTACGTCTCTTACGACTTCCTGGAACCTTACTGGGAGGTTCCTTGGTAGGTTCTCCCACGAAATCTGAGATTTTTTTAACACAATTGACGATGTAAATTCACTCGTGTCTTTCGAATTTGTAAATGCTCATGTACCAAAGTGTGTCCCAGGTTTTCTAGAAATGACGCCTTTTTGAATGTGTATCGTTATTATTAGCCCGATATATTACATTAGCATTTATGCCCGATATATCCAACATTACCAATTATCAAACACTACGATGATTATTGGAGATTGGTAACACAAGGCGATTTACTACATCAAACGGTTTGTAACTAATCGAGTATGGGCCATTTGGTTGCTACTAAGGTTAATATTTTAATCCCGTATTTTGCTGGTTTAGACGGTTTATATTGCCTAAATTGGCATCATCCTCTGAATGCGTCTAGCATCTCATCAAGCGTGCAGTTTTCTCCCAGCTAATACATTTTTTTACATTCTTCAACAAACTCTTGAAAAAGTTCACGTATTTGTGCAAAATTATCAAGTATTTGTCTTTCAGCGCTATTTCTTAATGATGTTTTTGACAAAAACTGAAATAGAACAAAGTAAATTAACCAAATAAACGAATAAAAGTAAGTCACAAAAATACTACGCCAGCGATGACGCTGGGTCATATTTACCCGTATTGACTTGACGCACATATCTCGCTGCGCAGTCAGCATCGCACTTAGTATACCAACGGCCGGGAAGAGGGAGGCTGTATCTCCAGCTACACAAACTTTCAAACTTTACGACCGAAGTCAAAAAAATCTGAGTCTGTTTAAAATCGCCTCGGGTCAATATGACCCAGCGTCATTGGCGCCGGGTTAAGAGAAAAAGTTAAAATGTAAAAGATCACTTAAGAGAAAATTAAAAAAAAAACATTATACTGGATGGCTAATAGAACTAAATACGATTCATTTTAGTATATTAAACCATAACAATATATATATATATATATATATATATATATATATTCATATATATATAGTTATATATATATATATACACGATTATAAAGTTGACATAACAACAAGATGTCATAGGTTTATATATTACTGTGTTATCTATATAATTGTGTATTATTGTGTCCAATATTAGGAGTACATAAGGTGGTTCATTGCTATGCAAAAGAGCCCCTCTCGCCATCAAACGTGAAAGTATGGCGATTTTAGATTTAAGTAACACCACTGTATTATAAATTTATAAATATTTGTCTTATAATAATAAAAAAACGATAAACGGTGGTATGTTCTTCATCAGCCTATAAAAGTTACTGTACTGTGGCCTCTCTCTTGTAGAGGAGAAGATTTGCTTTTATCACACGGGCGGAGAGGGCGTTGTTCCAATGCATCTTTGCTTTGCTGACTTCTCAAATATTTTAAATATTTGTAATTTTTAGACATACAACGAATCGACAATACTAGCTAGTCGAGTAAAAATGACTATACTAATGTTAAACACTCGCTACCCGCGGTGTGCTATAAATCACCTGTGCGCTAGGGACTGACGAGTGCGGTGCGTCACTTATTGATAATCTCTGAAGAATAGTGTGCGCTGGCGCGTTTATTTTAACAATAAGTGCGGGTAATCTAAATTTTTATTAATTTTATTTAGTCTGAAGTATGTGTTTTTCAAATAATAAATGTAATTATTTTCTTTTCATTTTGCAATCTTAAAGCCCGGTTTACATTTAGATAAGTGACAAGTGCGAGTAGCAAGTGCGACTGACAAATGACATGTGCTTAGTGCGAATTTTCTTCACACGTATCACTTGTCATTTGTCAGTTGTCAGTTGTACTTGCCATTTGTCAGTTGCACTTGTCACTCGCACTTGTCACTTCTCTAAATGTAAAGTAGCAATGGTAATGACTGTGTTACGTTTTATCAGCACGATTCATATTTGGTAGAGCCACGCTGCAGATATTATGGTTGTAGCACGAATGGGTCGGATAGACCAGGGAAGGACCACGTTCTTACAGAATACCAACGTAAAATAGAAGCTTAATACTGCTGTGTTGCATGTGGTGAGTGTAAAGATCCCGAGACCTTTGTTACTGGAAACAAGTCATTCCATCTTAGTGCTCAGGGGTGACAACGCATCTGCGTTTTGATTGTTAACCGAGGATAAATGTAAGATATCTAATAGCCCAGAGCATCCACTTACCATCAGGTGGACTGTGTGCTTGTTTGTCACCTACGATCAACAATACCAACTAGATAACGGGTCACGTACAAAATCATAGCTAAATACTGTCCGCATGAATATAAACTATAAAAGACATAAATTAAATAACATTTAGTGTGAAATCAACCTTAAGTTTTAAAAGATAAAGTTCTTTTTCCCGTTATTGCCTTGCGAGCTACACTCTCACGTGCAAGAGCTCACGTCTCATGTGCGCTCTTATTTACTGAGATGGATTTCTTGCGCCGACTCGACATTTAGTTGGTATTGTTGATCGAAGTTTGTCATCCTTATTCTATAGAAAAAACTGTTTTAGTTTTCTTTTACCGTTAGCAATTGTAGAAATAACCTTGGTAAAGCCAGCAGGAATGCCTAATGTTTTACAATAGAGGTACAACCATTTCGTTTGTGTGTGGCGCGTAATACCCAAACTAGCGACAGCCACCAGCGTCATAGACTTGTGTTGTGATCGTCAATTTGCCAGGCGATAATAGCAGATCCTATATTTTACATCTTTTTTTGGTATGCCCTACAGCCTGAAGACCCGCGAGGGCAACGTGCGCGTGTCCCGCGAGCTGCCAGGCCACTCGGGCTACCTGTCGTGCTGCCGCTTCCTCGACGACAACCAGATCCTCACCAGCTCTGGGGACATGACATGGTCAGTATTGCACCTGTGACGAGTTTAACAACTATCACTGAGTTATAAAGTATATTTATCGTAAAGGTAATTAAAGATGTTAAAAATTTATTAGTTTAAGATCCGCGTAATAAAATAAATGATGTGTCTGCCTTAAAAGAATCTCCCGCTCTCCTTCAATTGCGTACACTATCCCTGTCATCACTAATCCCTAGTAAAGACAATTTATTATTTAAGGATTAGTTAAAGTATTTATTAATTATCCTAATTACCGTTAAATGTAAAAGTTACGGCCTGTATACGTCCCACTGCTGGGCGCAAGGATGCTCTCGTTTCTGAGGGGTTTTAGTAGACTATGTGTAAATTTGACATCAGGACTTCAATTATCTCAGTCAATTCTCTACCACTGCGACTCGAAATGTCGGGAATTAAAAATAAGTAAAATTCAACGCGACAAAATCTGCAAATATAGTTTTGTTGTATAAATTGTTATGTTTGTGTGCAGCGCTCTATGGGACATCGAGACGGGCCAGCAGTGCGGGCAGTTCACGGGACACACGGGCGACGTGATGTCGCTGTCGCTGGCGCCCGACCAGCGCACCTTCGTGTCGGGCGCCTGCGACGCGTCCGCCAAGCTGTGGGACATCCGCGACTGCCAGTGCAAGCAGACCTTCCCCGGACACGAGAGCGACATCAACGCGGTCACGGTACGCGGCGCGAGCACCAGTATTTGCGCAGCCTAACGGTCACGTGCGCTCTGCACTCTCACAGTGCAAGCAGACCTTCCCCAGACACGAGAGCTACATCAAAGCGGTCATGGTACACGGTGCGAGCACCAGTGTGTGCGCAGTCTCACGGTCACATGCGCTCTGCACTCTCACAGTGCAAGCAGACCTTCCCTGGACACGAGAGCAACATCAAAGTGGTTACGATACGCTGCGCGAGCACCAGTATTTGCGCAGCGTAACTGTCACGTGCGCTCTCACAGGGCAAGCATAACTTCCCCGGACAGAGAGCGACATCAACGCGGTCACGGTACGCGGCGCGAGCACTAGTGTGTTGCGCAGCTTAACGGTCACGTGCGCTCTGTACTCTCACAGTGCAAGCGGACCTTCCCCGGACACGAGAGCTACATGAAAGCGGTCACGGTACGCGATGCGTGCACCAGTGTAGCACAGCCTAACGGTCACGTGCGCTCTGTACTCTCACAGTGCAAGCAGACCTTCCCCAGACACGAGAGCTACATCAAAGCGGTCACGGTACGCGGTGCGAGCACCAGTGTGTGCGCAGCTGGTCACATGCGTTGCATCAGTGGTGACAGAGAGGTGGTTACGTGTGGAGCACCAGTATTTTTACAGGCAAGCAGCCTAGTACGGTCACATGCGCTCTGTACTCTCACAGTGCAAGCGGACCTTCCCCGGACACGAGAGCTACATCAAAGCGGTCACGGTACGCGATGCGTGCACCAGTGTAGCACAGCCTAACGGTCACATGCGCTCTGTACTCTCACAGTGCAAGCAGGCCTTCCCCGGACACGAGAGCTACATCAAAGCGGTCACGGTACGCGATGCGTGCACCAGTGTGTGCACAGCCTAACGGTCACGTGCGCTCTGCAAGTTGTGCTAGGAAGAATATTCCAAAAATTCGGATTGTTCCGTTTATTTACCCTAAAAATCTACCTTGAGATCTATATTGCCTTATTGCATGAATAATTAAGAATATATTTACTTTATTTTACATTAGCATGGCTGTTTAGTGTTGATAAATGGAATAACTCAAAACTTCTTACTAAATCGCTAGGGATATAAAGCTTGTGCGGTCTATATATATTTTAATTTCTATATGAGAATCCTTTTAATAGTTATAATGTTTTTAAACTTTATTCATAAAACCTGACCGGGTTTTATGAATAAAGTTTGTAGTGTGTAATTATTTTATTTTATTGTATTGCCTACTCATATTGATCATAGTTGGAACTGTGTGGACATTATGAATAATGGCCGTCAGTCAGTTGGTTCACAAGACGTGGTTGTGCGCAGTTCTTCCCGTCGGGGTTCGCGTTCGCGACGGGGTCGGACGACGCCACGTGCCGCATGTTCGACATCCGCGCAGACCAGGAGCTGGCCATGTACTCGCACGACAACATCATCTGCGGCATCACCTCCGTTGCCTTCTCCAAGTCGGGCCGCCTGCTGCTGGCCGGCTACGACGACTTCAACTGCAACGTCTGGGACTCCATGAAGAGCGAGCGCGCCGGTCGGTGCACAACACCAACATCAACACACCAACACCAACACACACACCAACACCAACACTAGCACCAGCACACATACACCAAAAACTTGATTGCTAACTATGAAACTATACAATAATAAAATTAATATCCTTAAACTAAAAACTGTCACTGTTCAACCTATTAATAGTCCACTGCTGAACATAGGCCTACCCGTAGATTGCCTCATTAAAAGATATTTTCGATAGTTGTCAAGCCTGGCAAGCTGTTTGTTGTTTGTTATCATCCCGTGCATGTCGTAAGAGTTGACAAAGAGAAACATGTCAGGAGACTGGCAGCAGCGTCTGTTACTAACAACGTTCAAAGAAAGAAAGACATAATTCTTTATTGCTTCAAGTTGCAAAACATCAATTTTATTTAAAATAATAATGGATTGCCTCAACAAAGGTCACCGACTCATCATAAGGCTACAGTAAGAGAGAGAGAGAGAGAGAGAGAGAGAGAGAGAGAAAGAGACAAATTTTAAACACATCTGTCAACTGTCAAAATAAAACCATAGTAAATGAAATAAAATGTAGAAAAGAAAGATTATCTACATTTATGGTACAATGTATCATTTCTTTTACATTTCACGGAGTTGCAGTTTATAAATAAAATATACAATAACAACATCTCAATACTCCCGTATTTCCCGGTCCTGCGCTGTGCGCCAACACATTTTGAAAAAAATGAGTTAACGCATCGGCGCAGTGTTACCCATAGATAATATACTATATACTAAAAATTATTTGGTGATAAAACGAGGGAAGTTTCTTCTGCGCTGTAATAGATAGCGTTGGGATTATAAATTACCTAAAAATACACTAGAGGGCGATATTAATTAATTAATTCGTACCAATGTACGAAATAATACTGAACCATTACAATTAAAAATAATAAAAAATGTTCATAATTAGATATTAACAAATTTTCTATTTGATTTTTTTTTACAAAGTATCTATTAAATTACATGATTTGTTTTCCTTTATTATTTAATTCAAATTTATTTTATATATACACCGCCGTATTTTAAAACTTTAATAGTGTGCTTCGGTATAAATAATAAATGTCAGCAGCAAATGCAAATGCCGTCTTTTGAGTAAAATGTGTAATAATAGAAGACAAAATAGTGCTTTTAATGACTGTGAGATGGTGCCAGTGTCAATGTTACTGAGAGATTTTCATACCCATGTCTACGAAATGGACTGGCTCTCTTTACCCTTCAGAAAAAAGTGCTGTTGTTTTGTGACTGACTCCTACGCATAAGGAATATTAACACCTAGTACGTTCATTAATCAACTATACACGTATAATATGCGTAAACCAGTAAAATTAACATCATGATGAAATAAGTCGAATTGGAAGTTTCTACCTCAAAGATTATACGTGGTAGAATCATGATGCGGCTACATCATGATTCTAACATAGAGGATAGACTCAACCAGGGTAGGTCTACGCTCTCACAGAATACCAACGTAAAATAGCTGCTGTGTTTCATGTGGTGAGTGTGGGAGAACCGGAGATTATTTTTACTGAAAACGAAGCATTCCATCTTTAGTTCTCGGGTGACATTGCTTCTGCATTTTGATTTTCAATAGAGGATACACGTAGATATTTATTGGCATTAACTTATCATCAGGTAGATTCTGTGCTTCTATGTCACCCTTATTCTATTTAATAAAATGTCATTTTTATAGCATTAGGTGACAAATGAGCAGACAGTCCACGTGAGGATCAACTAAGGATCAAAATGCAAATCCATTGACAGCCCTTGAGGACTAGGATGGAATGCCTCGATTCCAGTAAAAAGGCGTCCAGTTCTCTACACTCACCTCACGAAACACAACAGCATTACGCTGCTATTTTACGCTGGTATTCTGTGAGAGTGTGGTCCTTCCCCGGTCGAGTTGACACATTCGTGCTAGAACTATGATATAGCTGCAGCGTGGCTCTACCACGTAAAATATACAACATATATACCTATATGTATGTGGGGTTGACACTAATCTTTTATAACTATTTCTACAGTACCAGTATAATTACTATAGGTTACACAAATCGTCCCATCTAAATCGTCGGGCGAAACGCGTTGTTTCTAGTTTGAGGTTGATTGCGTATTTAATGTTTCATATAAAATATAAAGTGCCTTTTGTTAAGTAATGTTTTTTTCCTCAACACAGGTATCCTGGCGGGTCACGACAATCGCGTGTCGTGCCTGGGCGTCACCGAGAACGGCATGGCCGTGGCCACCGGCTCCTGGGACTCATTCCTCCGCATCTGGAACTAAACCCTCTCCCCCCACACCCCCCATACACACCGCCGCACCCCTCACCCCCTCTGATCCGCGCGCCTCGACCCCTCTTGACGTCCGCAACAACAAAATGGCCGCCGAGCCGCCGCTGTAATGGCGTCACGCTATCAGTTTTTATAATCGGCTGTAATCACGCACGTTGTTGCATAATCAAACTGTTTTTAATGCGGTGCGTGAATGGGACGCGTAAACGCTTTATCTTATGTGAATATTTTTGTTCCGTCACGACTAATATGTTTTTGCAATCGAAAGCAATGTTTCGGTGTGATTGCTTGGAAATGCGAGGTGTTTGTTAGCCATTACGACCGGAAACAATGTGTGTGTTAATGTTCGCTCGTTAGCTTGTTACACAACTGATCTGATTCAGCCGACAGGTTTCTATTGAATACGGATCAAAATGAATCCTGTTTTGTTCGTAATAGAGTCGAGAATCGGACGTCGACAGGGAAACAATGAACTACTTTATTTATTTATATATAGTTGATAATCTCTAACAAATTGTAAGCATTTAAACTACCACTGAGGGAGGGATGTAGTTTATATATGTGTGAGTGGCGATATGTGTGTGTGTGTGTACACTATGGTTCAGAATACACATTTATATATATGTAATGATATAAAAATACATGTTTACAGTTAATTATTATTAGTTTAGCACTGGGAGCCTATCTGTGGGAGGCAAGCTGCCCATTTATGTTTCTGTGACTTGGTGAGTATTTTTTTATCTTCAAATTTATATAAATTAGACTAGCGAGACGGGGTAAAGAATGTAAACGATTTTCAGGGTTTCATAACATTTTTTATTCAACTTGATTTTCATAGAATGAAAATGAAAAATACCTGGTACTATACGATAAGAAACACTTAAACCCGTTATGAAATGTTGTCAAAAATGACGCCAACCAGCAAAAAAAAAAAAGCGAAGCGTTAAAAAAACAAAAGAGCAATCTTATTAAAAGAAAGGGATTAATAACAATAATAATAAACATTTATATTAATCAATAAAATATCAGTAAGTAGTTCACAAAAATAAACAGAATAACATAGTAATAAATGTACTACACTTGAAGAAGAATAAAATATGAAATAGTATTAATTTTAACGAGACTTACATCTTTAATTTTGTATAAGTTGTTTTCTTACATAAGATACATTTACAGGACGGCCCTACAATTAAGTAAAAATAATCCGATTAAGACAGTATTTGTTGTCTATATTTCTTTTAAAAATGATTTTTATTTCTTAAATTTCCATTTATTCTCTGTTTATCGACCCTGACATGTATACTACTTTGTTGCACTAATAATAAAGTATATATTTAACGTATTTTACCTTAGGGTGGTTAAATCGTAGTTGTGTGTGCGAGAAAGGGACAGAGATGTTAATCACTCAAAGGAAATCAGTAAAGGTCGTTGTGACATTCTTTATCTCGTTTCGCTTGCTCTACTTAAGTTTAAATCTGACTTAAAAATATTTCAGATAGTTTAGTATAATATTAAAGTATACTTGCAACGGCAGTATATTCGGCCACACGCCGAATACCGAATATTCTGCGAACTTCCTAACCAAATAGACGAATATTAAGCAGAAGTATTCGGCCAGGATGATTGTAGTGTATATTGTTTAAAAGTGTCTGTTCGATGATATTGGGATTGTCTACGAGAAGAAAAAGAGTAAACTACTGCCTAAAAATAAAGAAAAAAAAATTAGTCTTTTTGCACCATTATCTTCTACTTTAATTACGAGAACTCGAGTGCATATGATATCTGATATATATTTTTTAATTTCTATAATATGGAAGTTGATTATGTTACCTATGACTACTTTAATGTTCACACGAAAAAAATTACAAAATAAATAAATATTTTTATCTTACCAATTATCTGACTACAATAAAGGCTCTTACAATATGGCCGACGTATCTTGGCGAGTCTGAATATAGGCTCTGCGAAGTTTAGCGCATGAACACTCGTGAAGAAAACTGTTATTGTCATTTTTTTATATATACCAATGTACAAATAAAATTTCCCTAATACAGTGACCAAAAATATCAAAACACTTTGGAGACATTATAAATTAAAGATTCAATTTTGATACCTCACCTTTCGATAGGGGCAGATTTTATCACAAACACATACAATATTATTTACATTTAATACTTTTTATTTATTTACACTTATTATTATTTAATCACTGTCGCTGAGGGGGGAAATTCCTAACATAAAGTCGTCGGCCCCTTGTGTACCATGTGAGGTACTTGGCATAGGTTCATCTTCGTAATCGTCGCTCTCACTTTCAGACTCACTTTCTGAATCTGAAGCTGTATTAATGATGAATAATTGATCCGTCATTTCGTCAATAATATGGTCGCTCTTCCTATAGTCATGTTCGACCTCTTGCACTTTTCTGCATAAAGCACTCCATTCATTCTGACCCATTAAATTTACTTTTTCTTGTATGAGCTCCATTGTCCGGGTTACGTTCCAGTCGACGTTTTTAGCGGCTCTCGATGGGGTTTAAATCGGGATGATATGGGGGTAAACGAAGGACATCGTGGTTGTTTTGTTTAAACATTTCATCTATTACGTATTTTTTATTCACGTCTTTGTTTTTTTTTATTAGATCGTAAAGTTGTGGTTTACGCATGTCCTTTTCATATGGTATACCCTTTTCTAATAACCACGATTCCATTTTTGCCTTCTTGTCATTAGATGTAGGGGCAGGATCCATTAATTTGTTGTGGTACGGAGCATTATCGATAACCACCACCGAGTTAGGGCTCAAATTTGGAATCAGTTGGGTCCGTAACCATTTCTCATAATTTTTGAAATTCATGTCATCATGATAGTCTCCGGTTTTGCTGCCAGATTTGAACATTAGTAGCGCGTTCGGAACAAACCCTGCTTCTGACCCAGCGTGTACCATCACTATCCGCTGACCTTTTGATATCGGGCGCTTTAGTCCTTGAGCGGAACCATCTGACCACGCCTTACCTTTTGTATGTGATGAGTGGGCATACGACTCGTCAGTGAATACAATTGGTCGCCCTTCGTCCCTGTATTTTTTCATTGCCTTCAAGTACAAGATCCTTTTCAGGCGAATGTCGGTCTTCTCTATAAGAACCATTCTATTGGTTTCGGTCTTTCGCCACTTGAAACCCAAGTTTTTGATAATTGTCTTTAAGCTCGTTTTACCACCTTGAAAATTTATATCCCGTTTGAGTTTCGCTAGTAATTTGTTTATCGTCGGCATTTCTTTTTCAGTTTTGTGGAAGTTGTGTATGCATCTTTTTTACTACTCCCTGGTCAAAATTATCCATATCAGTAATAGGTTTTGATCTAGACCTTTTTTTACCAGGCGTGCGGAATACTGAAAGTAAGCCCGAAATATTGCCTTCAGTTGCGATCCGCTGTACTGTGCGTTGGGACACACCAGTTGCGTTAGCAACTCTTAAATAAACTTTATCGACATCTTTTACGCCTTCTTCTTTTTCTTTTTTCATATATTGCGTTAAATCGTAAATAATTTTTCTCGCCTGGCGATTTAACACACTGTTATGTTTTGGTGGCATGTTTGGCGAATAATATAAGTGCTAACTGACACTTGCAAATAAAACAAATAAAACAAACAAAACAAACTTAACACTATTAATAAAAACAAACAACAATAACAACGAAAACTTTTGTAACCGACTGTGCTCAAGACAGAGATAGCGACACGAACACGACACCAATGCTAACGTGTGACTGAGAAATATTACCGTGTACCGAGCATTGCCGAATAAGCACGAAGCTTTACGAAGTAACCAGAAAGGGATGTCCAACACGCGTGCCTGAGGGTGTTGTTTAATCGATTTTTATTCAAATCGATTAAAATTAAGACATAAAAATATATTTATTTGCAATTTATAAGGAGGTTCTAAATTTTCTCAAATAGTCGTTACTCAAGAAGACGTTAATAGATAATTGATATTTAAGTACATTATGTCTTTCAGCTGAGAAAATAATATGTTTTTAGTTTTTTTTTTATTTAAGTCGAAATCTTGTTTATTATCAACAAAATTCACTATATTTGTAAATCTATTTCGTTTAATATATTATATAAACAAAAATCAATAACTTCTAAATAAAACTAATCGATTGCGATATTTTATGACTAAAGGGGTCGATTGTGTTTACTTATGGTCAATCTCTAGCCTAGACCACCGCCCCCCGTACGTCGCCTCATGCCACCATTTTGTTCCTTAAAAAAGCTATTGCGCAACCTTCTGCGCGAAGGTCAGACTCGCCAAGATACGTCGGCCGTATTGTACTTAAGTAATCGGTATTCGGCCGAATAGTACCTAGATATTCGGTGTGTGACCGAATGAGTTATAAGTAGCCCAATAGGTCGAATACCGAATAGCCGAATATTCGTTGCAAGATACTAAAGTCATTAGTATGAAATATAACCAGGTCTAGCAATTAACTCTAACAGTCTGACAAAGATTAATAAAGAAAGAAGACAAACAATCTTGCATGCTATAGTAATTTAATATCCTAAGAAAGCCCTTAAGGTAGGCCATATATTTCTATTTTGAACAGACCTATATGTATACATTTTTTAAGGGAAACCGTTGACGCTTAAACACTCATAAAGATAATAAGATTAAATATGTTTGTACCCAGTAGTAGCAGATTTAAATTGATGACCGCCTTAGCCAGGGGTCATATTTAATTTTTCATTTACAAAATGAAAGGTATGTAATACTCGAAATAAATTTACACAAAGAGTAATATTTATTTAGGAACAAAAGGTCAGCTCGCTTGGGATATCACTGGGAACGGCTATAGGTTCATCAAAACTGATACTTCTCTATACTCATTATATCAAAATCATTTCATGTCGTAAATGTTCACTTCTAACTTAAGAAAATGGGTGGCATTTATATAAATATATAAGTGTAGGAAGTGCGCTACATACCACATAATTATATC